GTATGGATACCAGTTGAATTACCAGTTGTATAGCGGGACCAGTATGGAAACCAGTATGGATACCAGTTGAATTACCAGTTGGATAGTGGGACCAGTATGAATACCAGTATGGATACCAGTTGAATTATCAGTTGGATAGTGGGACCAGTTTGAATACCAGTATGGATATCAGTTGGATAGTGGGACCAATATGGATACCAGTTGAATAGTGGGACCAGTATGGAAACCCGTATAGATACCAGTTGAATTACCAGTTGGAAAGTGGGACCAGTATGAATACCAGTATGGCTACGAGTTGAATAGTGGGACCAGTATGGAAACAGTATGGATACCAGTTGAATTACCAGTTGGATAGTGGGACCAGTATGGAAACAGTATGGATACCAGTTGAATTACCAGTTGGATAGTGGGACCAGTATGGAAACCAGTATGGATACCAGTTGAATAGTGGGACCAGTATGAATACCAGTATAGTATTAATGACTGCTTTGAGAGAAATAGTTGTTTTATTACGCTCAAGGGAAGGTTAGAATTGTGCTATTCCCCGAGGCTTGCCGAGGGGAATAGCCCAATTGTAACCTTCCCAAGAGCGTATGAAAACAACTATTTCTCGAATATTAAAGCAGTCATTAATACTTTTATATGCGAAAAAAATAGACTAAAAAATAAAAAATAAAAAATATTTTTTATTTTTGTCGAAGATGAGATTCGAACTCTTGCGTACAAAAGGTGAAGTATCTAAAGTCAGCGCCTCAGACCTCTCGGCCATCACGCGCTATTAACATGCATGGCAGTTTTGTACAATATATACATTAAAATGGATTGAAACCGGCTTCGCGTGTGATGAATGCTTCGCAAAAGCTCCATATACAGACTCTTCTTTTACTTTTGCAATGCATATTGGCACGAACTTAGATCAAGATCTATCGGCAGATGTTGTTTTTTTGTTTTTGGAAGTTTATTTTCGTCTTCATGTCAACATTGCAAGATAAAATTGTCGGTAAGATCGATCGAGATTCAATTGTATTGAAATTACCGACCAATCCTTCGCACACATACGGTATCCTCCATCGCTCAAACCATTTTTTAACATGTAAACCTATGGGGTAACCATGGAGGCTGACCAACTATTTTTAATAACCATGGTTATTAAAAATATTGAAATGTTTTAAGCATGGTTACCGAGAATTTTACAGGAACAGTTGAAGTTTATGAATGCAATTTCGACCCATCAGATGGCTGGATTACTTAAGTGAGGTATATAATTGGAAATACTAGTTGAATAGTGGGACCAGAATGGAAACCAGTATGGATACCAGTTGAATTACCAGTTGAATAGTGGGACCAGTATGGAAACCAGTATGGATACCAGTTGAATAGTGGGACCAGTATGATTACCAGTTGGAAATACTAGTTGAATAGTGGGACCAGAATGGAAACCAGTATGGATACCAGTTGAATTACCAGTTGGATAGTGGGACCAGTATGAATACCAGTATGGATACCAGTTGGATAGTGGGACAAGTATGAATACCAGTTGGAAATACCAGTTGGATAGTGGGACCAGTATGAATACCAGTTGGAAATACCAGTTGGATAGTGGGACCAGTATCAATACCAATTGGAAATACCAGTTGAATAGTGGGACCAGTATGGAAACCAGTATGGATACCAGTTGAATTACCAGTTGGATAGTGGGACCAGTATGAATACCAGTATGGATACCAGTTGAATTACAAGTTGGCTAGTGGGACCAGTATGGAAACCGGTATGGATACCAGTTGGATAGTGGGACCAGTATGGATACCAGTTGAATTACCAGTTGGAAAGTGGGACCAGTATGAATACCAGTATGGCTACCAGTTGAATAGTGGGACCAGTATGGAAACAGTATGGATACCAGTTGAATTACCAGTTGGATAGTGGGACCAGTATGGAAACCAGTATGGATACCAGTTGAATAGTGGGACCAGTATGAATACCAGTTGGAAATACTAGTTGAATAGTGGGACCAGAATGGAAACCAGTATGGATACCAGTTGAATTACCAGTTGGATAGTGGGACCAGTATGAATACCAGTATGGATACCAGTTGAATTACCAGTTGGATAGTGGGACCAGTATGAATACCAGTATGGATATCAGTTAGAGAGTGGGACCAGTATGAATACCAGTTGAATTACCAGTTGGACAGTGGGACCAGTATGAATACCAGTATGGATACCAGTTGGATAGTGGGACCAGTATGAATACCAGTTGGAAATACCAGTTGGATAGTGGGACCAGTATGATTACCAGTATGGATACCAGTTGGATAATGGGACCAGTATGAATACCAGTTGGAAATACCAGTTGAATAGTGGGACCAGTATGGAAACCAGTATGGATACCAGTTGAATTACCAGTTGGATAGTGGGACCAGTATGAATACCAGTATGGATACCAGTTGAATTACCAGTTGTATAGTGGGACCAGTATGGAAACCAGTATGGATACCAGTTGAATTACCAGTTGGATAGTGGGACCAGTATGAATACCAGTATGGATACCAGTTGAATTACCAGTTGTATAGTGGGACCAGTATGGAAACCAGTATGGATACCAGTTGAATTATCAGTTGGATAGTGGGACCAGTTTGAATGCCAGTATGGATACCAGTTGGATAGTGGGACCAGTATGAATACCAGTATGGATACCAGTTGGATAGTGGGACCAATATGGATACCAGTTGAATAGTGGGACCAGTATGGAAACAGTATGGATACCAGTTGAATTACCAGTTGGATAGTGGGACCAGTATGGAAACAGTATGGATACCAGTTGAATTACCAGTTGGATAGTGGGACCAGTATGGAAACCAGTATGGATACCAGTTGAATAGTGGGACCAGTATGAATACCAGTTGGAAATACTAGTTGAATAGTGGGACCAGAATGGAAACCAGTATGGATACCAGTTGAATTACCGGTTGGATAGTGGGACCAGTATGAATACCAGTATGGATACCAGTTAGAGAGTGGGACCAGTATGAATACCAGTTGAATTACCAGTTGGACAGTGGGACCAGTATGAATACCAGTATGGTTACCAGCTGGATAATGGGACCAGTATGGATACCAGTTGAAATACCAGTTGGATAGTGGGACCAGTATGAATACCAGTTGGAAATACCAGTTGGATTGTGGGACCAGTATGAATACCAGTTGGAAATACCAGTTGGATAGTGGGACCAGTATGAATACCAATTGGAAATACCAGTTGAATAGTGGGACCAGTATGGAAACCAGTATGGATACCAGTTGAATTACCAGTTGGATAGTGGGACCAGTATGAATACCAGTATGGATACCAGTTGAATTACAAGTTGGATAGTGGGACCAGTATGGATACCGGTATGGATACCAGTTGGATAGTGGGACCAGTATGAATACCAGTTGGAAATGCCAGTTGGATAGTGGGACCAGTATGATTACCAGTATGGATACCAGTTGGATAGTGGGACCAGTATGAATACTAGTTGGAAATACCTGTTGAATAGTGGGACCAGTATGGAAACCAGTATGGATACCAGTTGAATTACCAGTTGGATAGTGGGACCAGTATGAATACCAGTATGGCTACCAGTTGAATTACCAGTTGGATAGTGGGACCAGTATGGATACCAGTATGGATACCAGTTGGATAGTGGGACCAGTATGGATACAAGTATAGATACCAGTTGGATAGTGGGACCAGTATGAATACCAGTTGGAAATACCAGTTGGATAGTGGGACCAGTATGGATACCAGTTGAATTACCAGTTGGATAGTGGGACCAGTATGGAAACCTGTTGAAATACCAGTTGAATAGTGGGACCAGTATGGATACCAGTTGAATTACCAGTTGAAATAACAGTTGAAATACCAGTTGGAATTTAGGGCCAGTACAGAAACCAGTTGGAATTACCAGTTGAAATACCAGTTGGAATTTTGGACCAAAGCAGTATAAATATGAGTAGGAAACTGAAAACTACCACCTTTACAACTAGTACGGTGTTCATAATACTGCAATCATTATGAATAAAGCAATCAATATGAATATGAATATGAATCAACCCTAGTGTTTTCTTTTTCTTTGGCTCTTCCTTTTTGATGACTTCTGCCAATTCTTTTGAGAGATGCTGTACAGAGATTTATTTTTGGGTACAAATCCTTGTCAGTTATATTGTACAACATACAGTGTGTTTCCACAGAAAACATCGACACGGTATTATGCTTGTAATACCGTGTCATACCGTGTCAGTTTTCCTGTGGAAACACAAGTGTGTCGACCCGTGTCGACCGAGATACGGATCATCAGAACCACCACTGGGAGGTGGTTCTTGCCGTGTCGATCCGTGTTAAATCGATGTGGAAACACACAGCGACAAACCATCTCTGGCGGATCATCAGAGCGCGAGAAGCCCCAATCACCACTGCAGGGTGATTGGTTGAAAACTACTTTGAAATACGCGTATACAATAATATGTTTATATACGCGTTGTACGTAACAATGAAAAATGTACGTCGCAATAGATAGTGTGGAATCCTGTGTAGATCTGGATCCACGGTTGAGGTCAAAGGTTGAATCTTGACTTCCGATTGACATGGTATTTGCCTGACTTGGAACACGGAATCGGGGCTAATTGGAATGCTGCGCTCTGTGGAAACAGATTGGTTTAATACCGTGTCACCGCGACACTCAATTCCGGAAAAGATAATCAGTGTTCCACTTTTTTTCTGAGGAAACACGCTGATTGTGTCTGAACTAAGAGACTATGCTGACTGCATAATCTACTGAACCCCCATAGGCTCTGTACTTTAGATGCTCCTAACTTTACTTGGCACAGCCATGGAATGTCAGGGTTAGGCTCAGTTCAATACTCTCTGGAATTGTGTATAAGGAGTAAATTAGAGTCTGTGCCTGCAGTATAATTAAAGATATATTTTTGAAGCTATTTAAATTTCTTTTTTCAATACAGCTTTCATTTGCACAGTGGATTTCATATGAACTCGATGTTAGCCCACATGAAGATATCCTGACAGATTTAGAGAGGTATTTTTTGTTTTACAAAGAATTTGAAATTTTCGCAATATATTATTTATTCTATGATTGTTTCTTTCTTCTATAATTTCTTTCAGAAAGAGAATAGCACATGTGCCAAAAATTAAAAATCAAAAGTGAAATTTTGAATTGCATTGATTTTATCCTGTCCATTTGATTTGAACATATCGTCAGAAATTCTTTGATGAAATAGAAACTTACCAATTCAGTGATTGCGTGAATATATTCATCAGAAGTTTTATTTGATATTGCCATTTTAAACCACAGAAGATACGGAAATAATTTAAAGTATTCAGATATCCATCCAATATTTTTATTAAGTAGATTATATTTTGCATCTTCTTAAGAAGTTACAAACACCAATCATTGAAGAGCTGACTTCTCTTTTTCTTGACATGCAGACATGACTATCACCAGTGGGCTATACTGTGTCACTTCTTACCGCTCCCCACAGCTCAGGGGGGATGCGAGGGGTGTCACTACCGTGCCGTTCGGACCCTCATCAACGGCCTGATGGACCACGAGACGGGAGGTGACCATCGTAGAGTGACCGACGATGATGATGATGATGATGGGGTGGATGATGCCAAGGTGATAGGTAGTCATTGTCATGGTCATCATCGACATCGTGGGGGACATTCGTGCTGGAGAGAACTGCTGCAGTCTTTGCAGGTAGACGTTGAAGATGTGTGACTACCAGTAGTATTATGAAATATTAGTGTGCATTGCATGGACTTTTCTACCAAAACTATAAAAGATAATTCTCAGTTCTTTGGTAAGAGGAGTAGTCCTGAAAATCCCAGGCTTAGAATACAAGTCATTGTGCTTATTCATTTGTTTGGCAAAAATGCTAAATCGCCCAATCAATAGGACAGGACTTTGTATCTTACTTTGTCTGCTACATTGTGCACTATAATTCATGATCTAAGGGAAAATATGGAAATAAAACAACGTTATTATTGCAATGAGACTGATATGCATATCAATTTGGTTTGCTTGCACCTACCAGGAGCTTGTTTCATTGGTTGAGGTCAATCAGGTGGACAGGCAGAAGTCAGGTGATGTAGAGAAGTCACATGATCCATGGCTGCTTTCAGTCCTTCATGAACGACAGGCCAAGACATGGAAACCTGATATTGATAATGCATCTTCCAACGTCTGCTTCCCGTCGGAGGCACTTGAAATTCAGGCCTTTATGAGGTAAATGTGAATTCCTAATGTATTTTTATTACATAAGAAAAAAGTACATGTTTTATTCACTTTCCTACTATAATTGGGTAAAGTAACTCCAATCATGTTGAAATGTGTTTACTAAAAGTAGATAAGCATTAATGTCTGTTTTCAAAATGTCCGTTTGCTTTCATGTTTTTCTTTGCCATTACTCAAGATGTGTTATGGAAGACATCTCTTTATATCTTTTTCTGTTGATTCGTGATTCTCAATTCAGTTTCTATATTTTAACTATAAACTGTTCCAGAATGTTTTATCCATAGTGTCCTTGCTTTGGTAATCTTGTTTCTTCCTTCACCCAGAGTTGCCTGCTGCTTGCCACCTTACCTTCTCTTTGCCTCTCACAATGATACCAGTCCAAGGCAGAAAGACCTTGAAGCACTGTCTCAATTTATTGGCATACACCTGGTAAGACTATATTATGCTTCTCTTTCCCTCTCGTACTAATCCTGTGCTGCGCTTTGTTTCTAATGAAAAGGTGCTTTATAAATGTAATATGTCATTATTATTATCATAAAATTTTATTTTCAGATATGCATGGAAATGATAAAAAAGTATGATAATGACTTCATATATAGCATTCACATTCACTCTGCAATTATTTCTCTAGTCTTTAACAAAAAAAGAAGAGAAATCCCTTTCTCCCAGGTTTCCATTTAAATCTGATAAAAGCAACTGCAAAAGAAATGGCTCTTCAGGTTTTGACACGATAACAATGGGCCTTGTTTATCCAGAGTAGCCTCATCAGTATTAATACTGTTCTCCCTGAGGGCCCTGCAATCGTATTATTACCCTGACATTACCCGAGCTTCCATGGAAAAGCGCTCAATCATTTAGGGAATGTCTTCCTACCAGGTACCCATTTACCTCACCTGGGTGGAGTGTGGCACATGTAGATGATGTTCGCTGACGTATCCACTAGACCACGACACCTCTACTGTCATGTATGTGATTACCACCTCAGAATTATTGTGATAAAGACAATGAGCGTTAGCTCATTGAATAGTCGGGTCCAAATTTCCCAGGGTACCATCCCATTTTAAATGCCTGTTAAATGTCTATAAAAGTGGGTTAAATGATCGCCTTTGATTATATCTTTTTTTTTACAGAGAGAAAACTGTATGGAGATGTGGGGCAGTTTGTCATATTTAACCACTGCTCATCTGGTCAAGGTAATATTTTTTTTAATGATAGATAATAACAAATATATATATTTGGAGTAATTGGAAGTGACCTGCAGCTCATGACATTTTTATTTTGTTATGATCAAGTTTCATCAACTTGTTATGGTATGCATACAGTTACAAGGATGCACATATGATTAATTTCTTCTTTCATATCCCTCACCAGTGGTAGGCATCCACATATGTTCTTTTAGGGCCATTTATATTTGAGTCTTCTCTTGATTTCAGGGACTGGTGATGTGTTGCCAAAAGAGCGGTGATGCTTTCCTGCAGCCTTTCCTCTTATCCACACCTCTTCTTTTGGCCTCCATTGTAGTAAGTCATATCAGTTTGATATTTTCTTCCTACGTGTATCACTCTTTCTACTGTGCACCTGTATTTACTTATGAAATTGAAGATAAGTTACAAATCATTGTCATATGTTAGTTTTATATTTGACTTTGCTTAGAGAAAATGTAGTATGACAATTTTGCTTGCCATACGCTTCATCGTTGATAAAGTCTAGATCAGTTACAGGCTTCATGATTTTAGATGGGTATTGATGTCTGGGTTCTGTATTAGTATCTTGACTCATCATCATCATCATCAACTTCAGGTGGCGCTTTAAAACGCTGCTTTGGTCTTCACGAGAGCACGCCATGCAACTCTTTCACCTGCCATTTGTGTTGCACCTTTCATTCCTTGTCCAGACACTTTCTTGATATCATCAGTCCAAGATATTGGCTCAATCAAGAAATTTGTCTGCCAAAGTAAGAGTAAGTTATTGTATGGGTAGCCTGCCTGAGGCTTACATGCTGTACAACTGTCTGTTTGTAGAATATTAGCCACAATCTTAGGGCCTCAGTTGCATATGTAACCTTTTTTTGCACTTGCATTTCAGATTTTGATAAAATATATCCATATTCCCTCCTGTAGGTTCATTGGAGAAGAATCGAACCATTTATCGTGCAAGCCTACCGACAGGGACCAAGTCCAAGCATCTTCCAAAGCATTCAGGATCTGTACACCGCTGCAGAAAATCTCACCAACCATGCCAAAGGTTCCCTCTCATCAACATCAGCAGCGATCTCTGCATCGTCAAAGACAACATCATTGTCCTCATCAATGAAATTAGCATCATCATCATCATCATCATCATCTTCTCGAGTTGCAGCTTTCGCACGATGCATGTTATCCATGGGAACCCCTCCATGGCTGTGTTCGATAGCCCTCCACGAAGCAGTGAGGAGAGGATGCGCTCTGGAGGAGAGGAGTAGGGCCTTGACGACAGTGCTACAGATGGTTGCTAGGGACAGTCAGGACAACAAAGAAGTAAGATGATAGTGTCGATGAGTCTGGTTTGTGGGTGCGAATTTTTTTTTCTTTTCTGTGCAGTGAAACAGAAATGTTTCTTTTCTTGTGACAGAAAATCTGTATCTTAAATATATCTTTGTATTAATTTGATTGAACGATGAAAATGTAAATGATTCATACAATGTAGTTTGATGAAGTCTCCTTCAGTACTGGTTCATGGACTTGAATTAATTTGTTAGTTAGGTGACAGTCTTTTTTTATGCCTCCGCCACCGAAGGTGGTGCCGGAGGCATCATGTTTTCGGGTTGTCCGTCCGTACGTCCGTCCGTCCGTCCGTCCGTCCGTCCGTCCGTCCGTACGTCCGTCCGTCCGTCCGTACGTCCGTCCCGTTTGACCGTTATCACAATATCTCAAGAACCATTTAAGATTTAAACTTAAGACTCGGGAATAGTATTTATCACCATAGGAAGACGATCTGATTAGATTTTGGAGTACGTAGGTCAAAGGTCACAGGTCACAGAGGTCAACTTATGAAATTCCTTGTATTGAGTTTGTTAGCGCGATATCTCAAGAACCATTTGAGATTTAAACTTCAAACTTAAGGATAGTATGTATCACCATAGGAAGACGATCTGATTAGATTTTGGAGCACGTATGTCAAAGGTCAAGGGTCACAGAGGTCAACTTATGAAATTCCATACATTGAGATTGTTATCATGATATCTCAAGAACTACTGGAGATTTAAACTTCAAACTTAGTGATAGTGTGTATCACTATAGGAAAACAATCTGATTAGATTTTGGAGCACGTATGTCAAAGGTCAAGGGTCACAGAGGTCAACTTATGAAATTCCATACATTGAGATTGTTATCATGATATCTCAAGAACCACTGGAGATTTAAACTTCAAACTTAGTGATAGTGTGTATCACTATAGGAAAACAATCTGATTAGATTTTGGAGCACGTAGGTCAAAGGTCAAGGGTCACAGAGGTCAACTTATGAAATTCCATACATTGAGATTGTTATCATGATATCTCAAGAACCACTGGAGATGTAAAAACTTCAAACTTAATGATAGTGTGTATCACCATAGGAAGACAATCTGATTAGATTTTGGAGCACGTAGGTCAAAGGTCAAAGGCCACAGCGCACATTATGAATGCAAAAACAGCTTGTGATCGCGTTATCTCAAGAACCGATTGATGGATTCATGCCAAAATTAGGTCATGTTTGTTACTTGCAGAGCCAATGAACTGAGTAGATTCTTGGTTCATAAGGTCAAAGGTCAAAGGTCATGGGCCCATTATGTATGCAAAAATAGCTTGTGAACGCATTCTCATTAGAACTGACAGATGGATTACTATTTAACTCAGAACATCTTGCAGAGCCAATGAACTGAGTAGATTTTATGGTCATGAGGTCAAAGATCAAAGGGTCATATATGTATATGAGAAATTGCTTGTAATCACAATATTCTGAGAACCTGTCAATGGATTACCATTGAACGTGAATTCAATTTTTTTTTTCTGTTTTGGTTTGTAAAATTGCTCTATAACGGAGGCATCATTTTCGACTGCGCGCAGTCGAATTCCATCTAGTTTACATATCATATTCGACTCAATGAATACTGAATTCTTTCATCCTTTAGTCTAGTCAGGAAACCTCCAGTGCCCAAAGGTACATGCATAACAGATCACAAAACATATGTGAACATGAATTATACCTACCCATCTTTTTGGAAAGTTGTCATGAATCATTTTCTGAAAGAGAAATCTATAAATTTAGTTGTTTCGTAAAATATGATAATGTATATACCATATTGCTTCATTCCAGGTCTGTGTAAGCCTGTTGGAGTGTGTCGTTGCTGAAGAGGCTTGCAATGTCCTTAGTGGGAAGAGCTGTCAGCAGCAGCAGCATATTGCATCTCAAACAATCACCCAACATATAACCTTTCTGATACAACTCTTACAAAGTAAGTAAGATTACTTTAATTTAGCTTTCACTTTCCAAAGTTGTATTCTTATGTTTACTTCAAAGTCATTTAACTTATATAAATTATATATTTGTTTAGTATTAGTATTAAGTATTTATTTACTAGGATTATTGTAGTTGGTGAGTCTGTTATTAACACATATGTGTTTAGAGAACAGTGGGAAAAGAAATATTCATATAGTAGACAATCAAAAATGTGAAACGATTGAATAAATTTACTTCTATGAAAGAGATAGAGATTTGTAAATCTATGTCACTGTCAAGCAGTGGTGCAGTTGAGACCAGCAGGCCCAAGTCTCAATGTCGATACAAAATTACTTTCATAGATTTTTTACACATTACTTTCTGTCATGAAAATACAAATGGCCATGAGGATGGACTTGATAACATCATTGCTGTCACAAAACTCATCGTCTGATTCAAGTGTTATATTTCGATCTTCATCTACAGGTACAGTCAAACTTGCTTTAGTGACCACCTGTCTACAAAGACCACTTTTTGTGTTTCTCTTGAAAATGGTTTATCATTGAATCATGTACTAAAGGAACCTGTCTACAAAGACAACCTGTCTTCAAAGGCCACTTTTTGTGTTTCCCCCTGGTCCGTCGCTATAGGCAGGTTTGACTGTATTTGCAATCACAAGACTCTTTTGTTTTACTTTGTTAACGCAGCCCCAACAGTGCTGCAGAATTCGGAAGTCTCAAGGTCTGTAGTCCAACTCTATCCACTGGCCATTATGAGGTAAGAAATACAGTTGATGAATAGGTAAATTAGGCATGAATCTGTTTGTATGTGTCTGGTCATTCTGTGAGCTGTCCAGTTACAGGATTTACTTGTAGCTACATATTTGCTACTTTTAAATACTATATTTAAAAAACCCTCTGTGTTTAACAATGAATATACCACTGTCTTAAACATCTTGTGCATTTCATTCATATGAATTTCTTTAGATTTTTATCATGACTTATCAAAGTTGACCAAGACCATGATAACATTTGAAGAGAGGTTTTATCAAATTAGTTAATAGAATTTTGCCACAAGATTTCATTTACAAATTGTTCGCAAAATGTTGTGGGCAAGTATATAATTATGACATGTGAATTTTCAGGTAATCTTGTCAGTTTAGAACCAAGACAATGTAATCTAAAAATAATCCCTCCCTTACCTCCCTAAAAAGGGAAACTAAGATTGATTCATGTGATTTGGTTTTCATTCTAATTTATTGTTGTTGTTGCCTTTTCAATGTTTTATCTTGATACACAGGAGTTTTCTACCAATCCGAAGTCAGATGCAGCCCCTGCTTTCCCAGCATCCTCAGCTGATGGAAGTCTTGCTGGAGACCCACAATGCACTGGGGGATTTGTACTGCCGCTCTGGAGGGGAGCCATTGCAACCAACCAGGGGACTTAGAAGAAGTGTCAAACCAGACAAGGTGTGGTACAGGAAAGAAATTTAATCTTCAAAAGTACCAATCACTTTATAGTAGTATGCTCTGTATACTAAGGATTCCATGTTGCCATACTATTTCAAAATATGAGCTTCAAATATAACTTCTATAAAGAGATTATGGAAGTTTACATACACTCTTGTTGCACCCATATGTGCTCGCTAGACAAAGAAACCCAAGTCAAAATTAGGTTCCATGCAGGGTTTTATGTTTTCCTTTACTTTTTTTAAGGTTGATTTTATGTACTTGTTGTATTCCTTTTTTCCAAAAGTTATTTTTAATAAGTGTTACACTTTATGTCATTGAAGATATTTCCTGTTCAAGATCTTTGTGTATGCCAATAATTCAGTGATAAACAGTATAGAATAAAGGTACTTTTCCATTTTGAGCATTATTCTCCAGGTTTCTCAATATCATTATATCTGTAGAATACTGTTAAAATACCTTTTATATGTCTTTTGTTGGCTCATATACAGGGTGATGTTCTGTCCACTGACTTTATGTTAGCATGCTCCCGATTCCTTCAATCCTGCATCTCAGTATGTCCTCCTGGAAACCTGAAGAGGATAAGGGCAGATTTCATGGCTACTTGCAATGAGGAACTTAGAGCAACGATAAGACGATCTACCTTGGACAGGAGATGATGATTAGCCTCCTGTTCTCCCAGCCCCGCGTCTCAATATGTCTCGCAAACCTGAAGAGGATTAGAGTAGCGGTCATGGCTATATTCAATTAAGAACTTAGAGCAACGATAAGGCGATATATCCAGGAAAGAACATGATGAATATTAGGTGCTGAGCTGATGAATATTAGGTGCTGAGCTGATGAGCCTCCTCTTCTCCCAGCCCATTGTCTCAATATGCCTCGCAAAACCTGAAAAGGGTTAGAGTAGAGGTCGTGGCTACTTGGGATGGAGAACTTACAGCAACGTTAAGACGATATATCCAGGAAATCAGATGATGATTCTTGGTTCTAGTGCTGGGTCTACCACTTTGTGCAGTCCTGCATGTCCTCGAGTTAACTTAACCTGTTGACTGCTGGATTGTCAAAGTCCCATAGGCTTAATACAGGGATCACCCAGTTCCCGTAGGCAACGGGTTACGAAGGATCAAAGCCTAGAGATGTATACAGGCATGCTCCTACTTTCTCCACCCAGTCCTGTCTCTTGGTGAGTTCTCCTGCCAGCCATGGGGAGATCAATGCTGAGATGCTAACTAAACCATGCACGCACCAAGGCATCAACAAGTAGATGATAAACTTGTGACAGGAGATGATTATTGGCCAGTGCTGGCATCAAACTCTTTCTTCCTTTAGTCCTTTATTTATCTATCTATCGAGGTATCTTCTCCCAGTTCGGAAGTCGATTGCAATATTTTCCCATACATCTCTGTTTTCTGCAATCCTAGTAGACTCATTACCTCAAAATGTCAGACTCTTGCAATGAGTCGTATGATTCATAAATGTACATATAATACTGGTGATGAAAATGAAACATATGATACTGGTAATAATGATGAAGATGAGATAAAGGATATTAGTGATGATTAAGAAGAAGATGAAATATTTATTGGATTACGGAAAGAAGGAGTTCTAACTCCAGTATGTCCCGTTGTATATAGTCCTTGATAAATCAAAGTTTTATTCAATATCTTTAGCAGGATATACTTGATACGGTTGAACACAAATGATCCCCTCGCAAAAAAAATTTGAGACAAAAACTATGCATCAAAATTGCGGACAAACATGTCCATTCTCTGACTTGCCGTGACCTACTTTTCCTGACAGGTCCTAGATATTCTATGGTGTCCTTAAAGAAACACATGCAATCTTTAGAGGAACATAAACATTTTTTATTAAAGTTAATTAAACATGAAAAAACGTCTAAAATTCTTGCTTTTCTTACTAGTCAAATTACAAATGGAAAGTGTGACATTTTCACTGAAACATATATGATAGAAGTGATGATAGTGATAAAGATGCAATATGCGATATCAGTATTGCTGAGGATGAGATATGCGATTATAGTGGTGATAGTGATGAGGATGATGACGGTGAGATATTTATGGATCTAGTGATGATAATGATGATTCTAGGATTCTAGTGATGATGATAATGAGGATAATGAAGGTGAGATGTATATGATTCTAGTGATGATAATGATGATGATGATGATGATGATGACGGTGAGATTTATATATTTCTAGTGATGATGATAATGGGGATAATGAAGGTGAGATATACATGAGTCTAGTGATGATAATGATGACGGTGAGATATATATGATTATAGTGATGATAGTGATGAGGATGATGACAGTGAGATATATATGATTCTAGTGATGATGATAATGAGGATGATGACGGTGAGATATATATGAAACAGAGGCGGCGGAGAAACTTCCAAAGTGCGAGGGGGGGCGGGAGGGCACCAACAAAAAATGGTCACTTTCTGGAAAAAAGGGCACCTTCAAAGGGAAATCTCAAAGCGAAAGTAATGGTCAAGGTCGTCAAATTACTTAACTGCTATAGGGTAATAGTTACAGATAAACAGACAATAATAATTTTGAATAAAAAAAATATTGGGGAAAATTATATTTTGAAGATAGGCAACGATAAAAGCCTGAATTAACATAATTACGTTTGAGTTGAAGGGGTTACTACGCAGGAATATATATTTTACAAAATAGAATCGACTTTAAAAAGCAGTTACACAATGCCATTATTAAAATATAACGTATACTAAATTTTGAATGTGTCAATTAGAATGATTCTGATTAGAAAGGAAAAGGGGCACGTATCATCAAAAAGGGTAAGATAAGAGGTGAAAAGGGGCACTTATCGCATCTGAAAAACAGAGGCACTAATAATAAAGGGAAAGTTAAAAAGTTATCAGTTTAAAAAGGGGTAGTAATTAAAAGGGGAAGGGGCACTTGTTAAAGCAAAAGGGGCACCTCTTAGATTTGAATAGGACAATTATCAGAGTTGAAGGGGGCGCTTATCAACAGTGAAAAGGGGCGCTTCTCGTACCTGTAAAGGGGCATTTGCTAGAGATTAAAAAGGGTTCATGTGACAATGGAAAATGGACACTTATTGCAAAGGAAAAAGGGGTACGTATCAAATTAAAAAGGGGCACTATCAGAGGTGGAAAGGGGCCAAGGGGCATTTTTGAAAATTAATAGGGGTACCGTACTTTTCCTATGTATTTTTTTCTTATTAAATTAAATCAAATGTAGCTAATTACAGAAAAATATATTTGTTATAAGATTAAGAATAGATCCATGCATAGATTTTTGCAAATTAATGGAATGTGCTAGAAGCTAGCTGTTATATATGTTGTTCTGTCTTTTTTCTTTGTTTTTTATCCATAATTTCGGTTTCTACTCATGATGATATATTTGAAATACATGTGTTTTCATTTTAATTTGAATATAAAAAAAAACACTTAAAAAAAAAAATTGTTGAAGGAAATGGGTGCATGACAAAATAAAAGGGGCACTTATCAAAGGTGGAAAGGGAAAGGGGCACTTATACAAATTAATAGGGGCACTTTTCAAATTAAAAGGAGCATTTTTCCTATGTAAAAATTAGGGGCATTTCTTACAATTAAAGTGCCCCCTGCCCCCCCCCCCCCCCCCCCGGACCGCCGCTTCTGGATTGACAACATGAGTGCGGAGCTGGACTAGAAGACCACAAATTTATCTGACAAAAAAGAAAGAAAGATCCAGACCCCCTTGACCACCCCTTCCCCCTCAATCGGATCCTATCCTCTGAATCGAGAAGGCTACACGGACTGCATGCATTAACAACAACAACATGCAACAGGCGGGGAATTTTGACTTTCGAGTCAACAACACGCACCGTTTACAATGTGGTCCATTGAAAGCATCCACGAAGGAACAGGTAAAGTAGATATATCTAGATCTATAACATTAAAAAAAAGTCAACCAGTCCGTAATTATTTGTCACATCTATCAATTGTTAGCTGCTTTTAAGCTCGAATTCATCCATGATTTCATAAACTTAGCGACTCATTTTATGTCTTCGGTCCCACGTATCGAAATACGTGTCATACTTTTAATTAAGGAAACAAATTGGAAGAAGAAGAAGAGGAGGAGGAAGGAAGGAGAAGGAGAAGAAGAAGAAGAAGAAGAAGAATAAGAAGAGGCAAAAAAAGGAGAAAAATGAAGAAGAAGAAGAAGAAGAGGAGGAGGAGGAAGAGAAGAAGAAGAAGAAGGAGAATTAGGAGGAGGAGGTGCTTAATTTAATTGTCTAAACTTAAAGATATTTTCTCCCTGACCTTGTCCTTGGTTGTGGTTGGCAAATTCGCCAATTTCATTCTGTATCCAGCAATTTAAGCACAAAGTGTAGAGCAGGGGCACATCAAGCATTCAAGGTTTTTGTATGTTAAAAAAAAAAGGGGGGGTGCATGACATTCCTACAAATTTGTTGATAAGTGATGCGAATAAAAGATCATCACCTTAAAAGGGGGATGGGCGCAAATACGGACTTGTGTACTAAAGGCTTATCACTTGGGTTTCAAAAGAGAAGGGGCACGGACTGGTTGTGCCCCCTAAATTGATCCGCCACTGTTATAGAGGTGTAGATCTAGTAAAACAACGAGTCTGCTGATCCTCCTGATCTTCATGTAGTTATTCTCATTGTCAGGTAAATTATGTATCTATCAGTTGTATAGATCTAGGTCTAGTTTTCCACACTTTTCTGTAACATCTGTATTTTTTTCTTCTTCTTTAGAGAGCAGCTACCCCTTCTTGGTTGGAGTGGAGTACATAGTTGGTCGTAAAGGTAGGTAGAGACTTCAGATTCCGTCACATTATTTAGGGAGCTTAGAAACCTCTGATTAAGATATCAAGATATCTAAAATACTTTTTAATGAAGTCCATTTCAAGTTGGAAGCTCTCAGTGATACATGTAGAGGTGTTGTGATCTAGTTGATATGTCGTTGGAACTGTGGTTTGCGGTTTGAGCCCCCAGCCCTCGTGCCCTTTGGCAAGATACTAATCTACATTTGCCACTCTCCACCCACATTCTAAATGGGTACTGGTAGGAAGGAATTACATTAAAGCTTTGAGCACCAAAAATGGTAGCCTAGCAGAAATGGGGTAATACAAGAGCCCCTAGAGCAACTTGCATATTGAATATGTGTACTATGAAATTATGAAATTATCATTATTATTATTACTAGAAGTAATTTACCTAATTTTATTGTGATGTCTCTAGAGCTTGCTATTACCATCTTTTATTCAGTTCTGTGCTTTCTATTCTCAATTTACACACTGTCACATGTTAATTGCTTGAATGTTAAAGGGGCACGTTCCCGCCAGTGTAGTTATCGCTGCTCTAGTCATCGCCATCTTGGTTCCGAAGATCGACTTCTTATTTGCATACAGCTGTCAATCAAAGTACGCGCGTCCTGGCCTGCCTTTGCCAAGCCAGCTGATCGCTGCCGATTTTGACATCACGAAAGTGGGCGGAAACAGCAGCCGAATCTTAGAGCCGAACTGCGATTGGTATTAGTTCGGCACATGTATGCGATAATCGGCATTGTGCGGGCATTCGGAACATGCCATCTGCGTAAGAGCCGTATTCTGTTGGTGTCAATAGGCAGCTAGCACCGTCCGCCAGCGGGTACGTATTTTGAACGCCCTCTGGAATACGGGGAACATGCCCCTTTAAACAGTACTTACCTAATCTCTTGTTCTCTTTTAATTTTATGTATGTAGGTATGTGATGCTCTTGATCATGTTTGCAGCAGAGAATAAAATTGCAGCAGACACTTTTTTTTAAAGGAGTTATTTTTCCTTCATTTTGTAGATTGCCCCATTTTGATAGCAGGCGATACGTCAATCAGCCGCAAGCATGCCTCCTTTAAAGTCAAACACCCAGAAAGTAATCTTGTAAGTATATTAAACAAGGAGACCCTAAATAAACTGTGTTTAGCAAAAAACAGATTGTCTAAATTGCTTTTTAAATCTATTATGCAGTAAGTAAGGATCCTTATGATTTGGTTTGTTTTAATCCTAATAAAGGTCTTGCAATTTACGACTTTGATACTCTCTTTCAAAAACAATATCAAAACATTAAGAGAAATTTTAAAAAAATTGTCATTTGTCGTTTCATACCTACTTCAAAGGGTTTTATGAACATAAATTTACACTAAAAGTATAGTTGTACTTTATATTTGGTCTTATCCAAGCTATAGGAGGGCTTGCCAGGTAACAATCGTCTGAAATGATATGATGTACTTTTCTTACTTTTCTTACTATATCATCTTTGAGTTGTTTTTTCTTTTCTTTTAAGGCTGATGTGATAAAAAATTAAATGTAAACAGTACTTAGATGAATTCAATCATTCAATTGTAAAATCTCAGATGATGTTGATATAACGTGAACAAATAGCCTGAATTTGGCCCTGTATCAAGAGATATCTGTAATTGGTTCTAGATACCTTGATGAATTCTATTCCAACTAACACATTTAGCATATTTATATCAACAAAATTGAATGTAGATTGCAGTAATAAAGCGGCCATCAAATTGAAACACACTCCTGTACTGTTCTGTTTTTCTTACTGTCAGAATCGCCCAAATGTACCTTCAATCCTGATTTTAAAAGAGTCTTCAAAGTACGGGACATCCTGCAATGGAGCCAAACTAGAGACTGGAAGCGAGACTAGCCTTCACGATGGAGACGTCATTTTATTTGGATCATTTAATTCAAATAAATGGAGGTATGAAATTGGATATTTGAACATATCTACAATTCATATCAAACCTAATGTATAATTAACAATTTTACAGAAAATGTGTCCCATGGGATCCAAAATGTATTTTTTTTTTCTTTGTGAAAATTAACTGAGGGAGGGTGATTTTTCTCAGTCCTCTACCAAATGCTCTCCAAATATTCATACTTTTTAAAACTCTCCAAATATTGATACTTTTGAAAACTGTATTTGGATCATTTAATTCAAATAAATGGAGGTATGAAATAGGATGTTTGAACATATCTACAATTCATATCAAACCTAATGTATAATTAACAATTTTACAGAAAATATGGTACATGGGAACTAAAATGCATTTTTTAAATGTGAAAATTCACTGATGGAGGGTGATTTTTCCCAGTCCTTTACAGAATGCACTCCAAATATTACATCTATTTTCTATGTTATTCTTTTTTTTGCATGTCTAGGGTATGTTTCAACCCTCTTGTGGTAGCTGCCTCTGCCCTGCCTGCAGATGAGAAGAAAGCCCTGAAGCAGACGGTCCACAAGATCGGTGGCCATGTGGTCTCTGAATGGTGTCCACAGTGTACCTATCTAGTCATGTCACAGCTTAATGTTACTATCAAGGTGAGTCAGGAAGAAGCTCACAGTTCATGTGGTCTCTGAGTGGTGTCCACAGTGTACCCATCTAGTCATGTCACAGCTTAATGTTACTATCAAGGTGAGTCAGGAAGAAGCTCACAGTTCATGTGGTCTCTGAATGGTGTCCACAGTGTATCCATCTAGTCATGCCACAACTTAATGTTACAATCAAGGTGAGTTCGATAAAAGCCCACAGTTCATGTGGTCTCTGAGTGGTGTCCACAGTGTACCCATCTAGTCATGTCACAGTTCAATGTTACTATCAAGGTGAGATAGTTAGTAGCTCACAGTTCATGTGGTCTCTGAGTGGTGTCCACAGTGTACCCATCTAGTCATGTCACAGTTCAATGTTACTATCAAGGTGAGTTAGGTAGAAGCTCACAGTTCATCTGGTCTCTGAGTGGTGTCCACCGTGTACCCATCTAGTCATGTCACAGCCTAATGTTACCATCAAGGTGAGTTAGGAAGAAGCTCACAGATCATGTGGTCTTTGAGTGGTGTCCACAGTGTACCCATCCAGTCATGTCACAGCTTGATGTGACTATCAAGGTGAGTTAGGTAGAAGCTCACAGTTCAGGTGGTCTCTGAATGGTGTCCACAATGTACCTATCTAGTCATGTCACAGCCTAATGTTACTATCAAGGTGAGATAGAAAGAAGTTCACAGTTTTGTGGTCTTTGAATGGTGTCCAGTGTACCCATCTAGTCATGTCACAGCTTAATGTTACTATGTTACTATCAAGGTGAGTTAGGTAGAAGCACACAGTTTATGTGGTCTCTGAATGGTGTCCAGTGTACCCATCTAGTCATGTCACAGCTAAATGTTACTATAAAGGTGAGATAGAAAGAAATTCACAGTTTTGTGGTCTTTGAATGGTGTCCACCATGTACCCATCTAGTTATGTCACATCTTAATGTTACCTTCTTTCTCTCCTCTCTGTCTCTCTCTTTCTCTCTGTCTCTGTCTTTCTCTCTTTCTCTCTCTTTCTCTCTCTTTGCTTCTCTCTGATGCTGTTTGTCTATCCTCTATTCCTTGCAGGTGATTAGCGCACTTGTTGCATGCCGACCCATTGTTACTCCAGACTTCTTTAAGAAAACGTTGGAGGCTGTAAAGGTAAAAGCCTCTCTGCCTGCTCCAGGCAAGTAAGTACACATGAACCCTGTTTTAACAAGAGGCTGTAAGTTGAAATCTCTGTCTTGTAAAACATAGATTATAGAGTATACTAAGTTCTATTAGTGCATGCAGCCCTCTTCTTTTTTACTCCTACATAATTTTATCATTTGTAAAATGGATGTAATACTTGAATATGCTGTGAATTGTCTTATTATGTCATTGAAGCATCAGAAATTTACAAATAGGTACAAAATAACTTTGCAAATTTGACAACCAGTGGTGGACTATAAATTCATTTTTTTAAGCACTCAACCTATAATATATCACACTCTCTACAGCATGGATGTTGGTATTGTAGACAGAAAATTATTTTAAAAAGGAAAATATTTCATATATTTTCTGTAGTTACCTTCCAACTTTGGCCGAGGCAGCTATCAACAAAAATGAGGTGTCCTTCAGTCCAGATGACAGAAGAAAGGAGATTTTTAAAGACAGGACTTTCTTCTTCCTTACTGAGAAACAGGTTGGTATTCTCTCACATGATATGATTGTTCAATCTTGCAGAATTGACAAGGAATTTAGAATGTCTGTAGAAAAGTAAGTTTGTAAGAGGCTGATGCGATGTTCGAGGGATTTTATTTTGTTCTGTTTGGTTGTCGTGGTATAGTGGTTCATTCACTTAACTACAAAACATTAGGTCGGAGGTTGAAATCCCAGCCCGGCACTACAGTTCTTTGGTATTACATTATTGACATTTGTCACTCTTCACGTTGATTATTCTAATTTCCAGCATTGATGATCAAGATGGCTATCACAGGCATTTTTCTTTCCAACTTTTGATAACGTTCATAGTTCTCCTATACAGTAGAAACAAAGTCTGATCAGTTAATCTGTAGTAAATCCTTTGTCTATTGCATAGCTATAGAGCATCAAGATGGCAGTCATGATTGTTTTCATTTCTATTGCCATGTAAAATCTGGGTTTTTTTCTTCTCACAAAGATACTAAGTTGAACTTAACAGTTATGGAAAGCCGTTAGCATCTTTGAAAATATTTTGTAAAAGTTATTTTACAAGGCATGAAATGTTGATTCAAATCATTCACATTTTCTATTATCAAGAAGATTTCATGTTTTTGATGTGGAATTTATGAAAAGTATAAAATACTTGAATTTTTGCTTTTGAATACAATCTTTTTTAAGGCTACAAATTGCTCTCCATATGTTAAATCCAACTTGGAGTTAAGTTTGACGTAGGGTTTTTGTGAAACACCCCCTGATGTTCTTTTGTTGCTCACCTCTGCAGCACAAGCGTCTTCACGTTCCAATTGCTGTGGCCGGAGGTCGTTCAGTGCTCTTAGACGAGGATAGCGACGTCCCGTCCCTCTCTGACCGGTTAATCTCTTCTACATCCTGCGTGCTGTACACGGAGCATCAAGACTCTACTCAGCAGATGAGCCAGATGGGACAGACTGTTGTGTCGCAGGTGCTCCGGCTGCTTAAGAAGTGAGTTTGGAATAATAATAATAATAATACTCCGTTTTTATATAGCGCTTATTAGAATCACTAAACGCTTCCAAACTTGGAGACTATTACCCCAGCTTTAGCTGTGCTGCCATTGCGGCGCTCTAGCATTTCAAAGAATTAATTCCTGCCATGTCATATGGCCACTATGAAAATAATCTATGATTACTTCATCATCATCATGTAATGAAATGTTGGTGATAATACTTTAATGTTGTGATACTCTTATGTGCATAGTCTCCAGACAAGAAAGTATTGCATTTTCTGAGTCATGTTTTGTGTATGCCTTAAAGTAGACCCTATAGTTTTTACTCAGTGCAAAATTTGATAGCAAATTTTCATTTTAAAAGACATTGAAAGCTATTGTTTACAGAGATTTTGTTATGTTAGTTATTAGTACAGAATTGAGCTGTGTTACACCATGTATTTTACAGGCACACTAGAAAGGAATCTTGGGTTTTCTGCCGAGTTACTTGATGCGTTATTTGTGTAGAGATTCATTTGGAAAGCCAAATTTGTAATTGGTTATAAATGATACATGATTATTGTGATCACCATGTTTCTATACAGGCACAATGTACGTCCTATACCAGAGTCTGAGCTTGGACTGGCTGTCATCTACATCTCGACAGCTCTGCATTGTAATCCTAAAGTTGCTCAAGGTAAGACTTAAAGGTGACAAGAAGGGAGATGTGAGTTGTTCTAGCGGTAATGTCTGTGGTATGGTCAGCTCTCTGTCTTCGCCCCTACAAAACTGACTCCACAGACCTCGACTGAGTCACGTCTTTCGAATTGTGATGTTAAAGGTCTGATTGAAACCCATCTGTAAAAAAACTTTAAAAAACATTACATGTACACATGATGATGATGATGAAGTGATGATGGTGATGATGATATGATGATGATGGTGGTGGTGGTGATGATTATGATGACGATGATGGTGATGATGATGATGACTAGATCTTCCCAGTGCAGTCCCCTCACAGTTTTTGCCGACCCAGATTGTGCTAGTCTCAGACACCTAGTCTACTTCAAAAAAAAATCTATGGCATAGGTGGGAAGCTGGACAGGAGGACAGTTATGTTGCCATAACTCTTTAGTTACATAAAACTTACCGCTGATGGTAACTTTGCCATCAATATTAACTACCATGGGAACATCCCTCAACAGCCAATCAAATCAAGGTTTCGATGGAAGTAACTATTAATGGCAAAGTAACCATTTCTTGTAAGTTATATGCAACAAGGCCCATATGCGCCCATGTGTTTCATTAAATTGCTGTTAAAATTTGTATTTCTGTACAGCCGGTCTAGACCTTCTCAGTGCAGTCCCATCACAGTCTTTGGCAACGCAGAATGTGCTAGCCTCGGACACCGAGTCTCTCTCACAAAAGATACATGGTGTAGGTGGGAAGCTGGACAGGAAGGCCACAGCCACAGCCAAAAAGGAGACTGCACCCACACCTAATCTACCAAAGTAAGCATAATTTTCTCCCGTGCGAAAGCTACGATGACCGAATGCGATGAAGATACAATTAAGATTAAATGCATTAGTGTATTATATCCTAGAAATGTATGTGAGAATCAAATGTTCAAGTGAATTTCTGTCTCTCAAGACTTTGAGCTTTAAGGGGTATTTATTTATCCATTTTGTTACCAATAGTCAAGCCCTTTGTTCTCATTGTAAGAATGATTTGTGTTCTGCATGACCAGGTACCCCATTTATTAATTGTTTGTACTTTGTGTGTAATTGGAAGGCGTCAAGCTTGTGCTTATCTTGGAACTACAGTACTGTTTGAAAAGAAGAGTATTTCTTCCCTGTATTTTTATGTAAAATGATTTACTATGTATACATTCACAGCTGATTCAGACCTGAATGAATGAAAGGAAACCAATGACAGAAAATGCTATTTGATCATTTTGATATCCTTGTAAAGTCCTCTGTTCCAATGCCATATTTTTAATGTACTTTACAGACAAAATCTCACATCAACTCCAAAGGTTTCCAAGGTCTCAGAGACCATCATAGCAACTCCTTCAAGGACAGCCAATCAGACAGCATCTTCCAGGCCTCTGGATGGCTCTCCCGAGTTCTCATTACAAGAGAAAGGTGAGAGACCCTGAGAGGAATTTTAGAAGATTTTTGGGGGGGTTTTGGGGTTTTGCTTTTTGGGTCGACACAGTGCAAGGTGAAGGGGCATAATTGATTGAGACTGAAAAAAAACACCAAAAAACTCTCTTCCCTTTAAATTAGGAACGTAGGTTAACTTCAAATAGTAGATCCTATTCTTTATTCTTTACTATGTTATTCATGTTGAGACACAGAGATAGTCAAAAACATCTAAAAAGTAGCATTTTTAGGACTCAAAATATCCTGTACCTGTCTATAAGACGCACCCCCAAGTTTCGAGATTTCCGACGGAAAAAAGGTGCTCCTTATACACAGAGATTTACTGTATTCATCAACTTCATGTGCGCTGTGATAGAATCGCACGGCATTGCATTGCTGTATTGACACATGGCATAGGTTTTACAGATCAATACCTCTTTTACTTTGGTGAGGAAATACTAATGCCATAACGAGAATTTGATGATGATTGTGAGGTATGTATTTCTGCACTTGGAAGATCAGAAGAATATTGGTAACTGAATAAATCAGATACATGTTGTTTCATCAGAAAATAGTTTGGGTTTCAACTTGCTGTAAAAGGTTTTCTCATTCATGTATCGCTAATTTTTTTTAGATGCTGCTTGTAAGTATCGGCTTGAATGGTGATGTAGATATACAGTAGGCTTGCGGTTGCAACATGTGATAGAGGGGGAGGATTGGGAGTGCTGAAAAGGACTCTCGGTAATCTTTCTTTCTTAAGTGTGTGTAGTCCTTACTTGTTGATTGTAGAGATAATCCCGATGGCAGCTATCATACAGCTAAACTGGGAAAAGGACTGTTTCTACTTTTGAAAAAGACTGATGGTTATCTTTCTTAGCTGATAGTAATCCTAAGGAGAACTATAGCGCCGGTTGGAGAGGATGGGTGGTAGGAGTGGCTCAACGTTTCGAACAGGTTGACTATCCGTTGACTGTCCTCCAACTGCCGCTTCTCCTTAGAACTACATGTATAAGCTAAGAAAGATAATCAACAGTCTTTTTCAAAAGTAGAAACAGTCCTTTTAAGGACTACACACACTCCAGAAAGAAACATTACCGAGAGTCCTTTTCAGCACTCCCAATCCTCCCCCTCTCACATGGTGCATTAGCTAATTAAGTTAATGAGAAAGTGTCCCCTTTTTATGGTAATAGAGGCGTTTCTTGGAGAAAATGCAATGCTTGCCATAAATCCATTTTGAATTTAAAGAAAAATGTCAAGCTATTACAACAGACAGTACTAGATTCAACATTAATATTTTAGAAAGTTCTTAACCATCTACGGTATTGTGAGTGAAAGAGGAGTTTTATTTCTTTATTTTTTTTTGTTTGGTTTCTTTGGTATCAAATTTTCATAGCCCCCATCAAGATGGAAACAGGGAGAGGTGATGACAAGGAAGAGCAGGTAGAGACCAGCACTAGACCTGAAGTCAAGAAGAAGGATGAGAAGGAGGATGAAGGGATAGGCGAAAAGGAGAATACGAGAGAGGAGAAGCAGGTGGTCAGAGTCAAGAAAGAGGCTCTAAGCCAGCCAAATGGAAGAGGAGATGCTGATGGTGTGGATGGACATGGTCAGAAACCAGCCTCTGCGGAAGTCTCAGAGAGCCTGGAGGTCATATCTGAACAACCGTCCAGAATTGAAACTCTGGGCAATAAGGAAGCTGGCTCCAAGCCTAAGCAGAGGCAGCAAGGCACTCTGGACGCATTCAGAAAACCGCTGGAGAAAAGTGAGAAACCTGATGGAAAGATGAAGGGAAGGGCAGGGATGGAGGAAGAGAGTAGACGGGTGGAAGACGTGAATCGAGTGAAAGAAGAACCAATGGATGAAGGAGAGACGGATTTTGAGCGCATCGTAGAACGAGATGATGACGATGAGGAGGCGGAGGAGGTGGAAGATGACCCATTTCATTATGAAAGAAAGAAACCCAAGAAGACACCAGAAGCTGGGCGGACTGAGGAAAGGATGGAATCAAAGGCTGAGCAGAAGGTTGATGGTGGAAAGAGGAGCAGCAAGAGGACGGCTGATTGGAGTGATGAGAATGATGGAGAGAGCAGCAGAGCCCAGACAAGCAGAGAGAACGATGGAGGTGGTATGTGGAAGAAGAAAGCCAGGATTGATGTCTTTTCACAGGTTTGTGTCTTTTTTGTTCTTCGCCAGAACCTTGTACATGTACTTCATAGCTAGGCCTATTCATATTGATCTACAGATCTTTATATTTTTCTAATTCTTTATTTTCCCCAACAATTACGCTTGCTTATATATATATTTTATCACCTGACGAAGTGTTGCAGCGGCGCACGAAACGTTGTGATCTTTAGATCCTTTGTTGACCATACATTGCGAGACAAACGAATATCACTAGTGATATTATTTTTGAAATTACCTTGTTGGTTGAAAGTTTGTGATTTTACAACTCTCCCACGACTGCTACCCGAACTACTTCATGTATAATTACTCCAGTTGCTCTCACAATTACCTTGTTGAATGTAAATCATCAATTACTCTTTCAGAGCTAATTTAAGCCATATTGTATATTTTACATTCATGGTCAGTGATCGTTTCCATTGCAACAAATTGACATGAAATATTTCATATGAGCTCAGCTTTTTATTTGCTGAGGCTCATTATAGAAGTTAAGGCCTGGGCCCAGTCTTACAAAGACTTACGATTTAAATAAATCGCAAGTCCTCCAATCAATCGCAAGTTTGCAGTCTCCTATCTCTTATGTACGTAGTTACGTTTGATATCAATCGCAAATAATCAACTCTTTGTAAGAAGGGGCCCTGGACATATTGTCTTCAATCAACATGTATTTTTTGTTGCTGACCAGTGCCACTTTTTTCAACTGTACTTTCTATCCTGTGATGTTGTTTTCTCTCTCTCTCTCTCTCTCTCTCTCTCTCTCTCTCTCTCTCTCTCTCTCTTAGGAGGAGGAAGCTGCAGCAGAGTCATCTCAGTCCCAAGAAGACGAGCCGGACTCTAGGAGTGCCTTCTCAGAGGATGCAATGAACCTACCCAGAGGGTTCATCTCTGCCCGTATTCCAATAGAGGTAAAGAGCTAGTCCCCAGGTGCAGATTCAACTTTTTTAACTTAAACATGATTCCATGGAGCCTTGAGCCTAAACATGTCACTCCTTGGCTCACACCAACTTCTCTGTTATCTCCATTGTGATCAATCTCTCTGGAATAGTCCTGGTTTTCCACCTTTACATGGCGTATTTTAATTAGGTAATGACATTTTTTTTTCTTTCATGCATACACTGCATTTTTTGTTATTTTTGAATTTGGTCCTGATCACCGAATTCCTTGGGCTAAAACAGGAACATTGATCACATAATATTTATATAAACCTAGTTTATGATTATTTTCAATAACAGGACCAAGTTAGTGTGAAAATAGAAAAGGACTACATGCAGGAAGAGGGTCTGCCTAGCAAGCTGATTAAAGTGACGAATGCTGCCCTCGTCATCCGCAAAAAAAGGAACCCGCCACGCAGAGCTGTACAGGAGTTGGGCAGTGGTCGGCAAGTGAAGAATTTCAAGAAGTTCAGAAAGGTACATGTTTGTTTTTTGCTCATTTGTATTCATCATTCTATAGTACACAAATGATATCTGTCAATTTATCAGTTTTATGATGATGGTTAAAAGGATGATTACAATTGCAGTGATATTTTAACACTGGCTATGATTAGGGTTTCATATTACCAAATTTTGTTCCATATTTGATGTTGATGGTACTGTAAGAATCATAGTGGTTACAGTTTTAAAAAGAATGATGGTGATGACATACATGCCAACTGTTCAGATTAAAGAGGAACATTCCTCTTTTTGGGAGAAGATAATTATCATTTTAATGCAGGTGTTCCTCTTCCTGTACAAATTTGTCTGTAGTATTGAATAGGAGAGTTAGGATTGTTCCTCTTTTTTTTGAAAATAGCATAATTTGTACAGATTTCTGATTTTCAAATGTTGGCATGTATGTGATGATGAAGGAGGATTATGAAAATGATAAGGATGACAAAAATTTAAACAATTATCATGTCTTCCTTAATGATGAATGTGGTGGTTGAAGTGGTCATGATCAAAGAAAGATCATGAGGAGAACGATGGTGGGATGATGCAGACGTGACAAATGATGGTAACGATATTTTTATGATGATTGTGACGGTAATGATGACAGTGGTGGTGATGGCGATGATAATAGCAAGGACTTTGATAATGCAGATGGAAACTTGATATGCCCATGATGATGTGAGTACTTCATACATGAATAAAATACACTGATGTATTATTATCATTACCATTGTTATTAACTTATTATGGAAAATTGAATGATGAAAACAATCGCTTCTGTGTTGTGTAAGTTTGCTTTCTGTGAAGTTTAAAGGTACTGGGTAATACAAAGTTTTAGTATGGGGTCATGAATCAGGCCTGATAATTACCCGATTTAAATCAGTTTCCTGATTTTTAAAAATTGTTTTCCCCATTTTTTCCAGATTTTTTTTTTCCTTCCAGATTTTACCCCTATTTTATCCCTATTTCCCCCTTTTTTATCCCAATTTTCTTACTCAAAAGGGGGGAATGTTCTTAGATGCCATTTTTTCCTTTTTTTTTTTTTACACACAAGGGGACGGTGGTTACTATCACCCCTGTATTATCCATGAGTGAATGTCCCTTCTATGATTCTACCTAACAGGCTGGATATGCTGGTCAGTCTGCCATACCACGCATCATAGGTGGCAATGATCTCTTTACGCACTACAACAATCCCAGCAAAGACATTGAGGATATGTTCAATGAAGAAGTCAGGGTAATTATGATTTCTTCTTCTTCTCTTCGGTGATATTCATACTATCAACAACAACAAAATGTCAAAAGTCTAATACTAAGATTTTCTTGTTAAGTACAGTTAAAATGAAGCAATATGTATAAAAAAAAAAAAATTATGATAATATTACCTGTTTATAGCTCAATAATAAGTTTACTGCTTCAATATTGTTTGATATTTTGTTTCTTCATCTAAGAACGATAATAAACAAAAATATATCAAGGTAATGTTACACAGTATTGAGAGGCACCCATTGGCATATTGCATAAATATTGCATCGGATTGCATCAACAACTAATTGAAATCTACAAGTTATCAATGCATAGGCTACATTTTCCTATGAATCAATAAATAATTTTGGTTTCTTTGCTTATGTTGTCCCAGTCTTTATCTTTTACCATATTCAAAGTTTATTCTAGGCTGTGAGGAAGGAGAAAAGGCAAGAAGAGATCTTCATAACATTTTGCATTTTGTATGCCTTCCCAATCACTTTCTGAGTTTTTTTCTTTCCGTGTTCAAGTGTTATTCTGTACTGCAAGGAAGGAGAAAAAGCAAGAAGAGAGTTCAGAGACAGTCATTTTGTATGTCTTTCCAATTCCAAGCACTATCTTTTTTCATATTCATATATTTCATATTCCTACATATTTCACATTCACATTCTATTCTAGGCCGAGAAAAAGAAGGATAAGCAAGAAGTGATAGCCGAAAAGCTGTTTGCCTTTGAACCGAGGAGGGGACCAGCCTCAAAACGGAAGAGATGAGGTTTGTTTATTTTTCATGATATTCATCCAAGTTATTTTCAGATCACAGCATAAAACATGCAGCCAATAATGAAAAGCTCAAACATCTTTTGAGAATATTATACAGCCAGAAACTTGCAAGTTGTTAACGACAGTCATTTTCAAAGGAACACTTTTACGATTTGCAAAAATTCAGTGCTGCAATTGAGTTACTTTTCAGTATAATTCTTGTTCTAATCTTGACCACTCGCAAAACTATTAAAAAAAATTAGCAAAGTTTCTGTTTTGTTTGTAGTATTTATGTGAACATGTATACATTTGCAAAGTTTTCATTCTTATTATCTTTTTCTTTATGAAGTTGTGGTTTGATTTGAGGGTAGCCTGAAAGCACTGTGTCAAGTGAAAACAATGGCTGCCTGAACCCCTAGAAGAAATGCAGGGAATATCATGTACATGTATATTGACCTTTAAAAAAAAGATGTTGCCTTTGGTTGTTTAACAAGGACTCCTCAGTAGCATTTTGTCACAAGAGGTCTAGATTGCATTTTAAACTATTTATGAATGGGCTTTCTGCTTAATTTTTTTTTTTTTTTTAAGGGGGGGGGGGGGGGGGGGAAGAGGATCTAGATTTAAAAATGCTGGATTTAGCTCATGCTGCAATGATAACATAGACCTTTAGGTCAGTCAGGAACCCCATGACTTTTACAAGCTGATCGCCTGTCTGATTATCAAGATATCTATGATTGTGTGTGTACAAGAAGCTTGCTTGTGCAGAGCTTTGTGAGAATGGATATTCAATCATTTCAATTGTTGATAAATACATGTACACATATATATGGATATTGTCTGTGAGCATTTAACATGCATTGTAAGTGTTGTGTAGGCCTGGTGACTTGTACAATTTATGTATTGCATTTTATGACAGAACATAGTATTATAGAAAGCCTGGGATAAGCCCTCTTAAAGGATGTATGATGATTTTTATACTGCATAACTAAATATTTGCAGCACTTGCTAAAACATCAGTTTTGCTTTCCCAAATAAAAAATAAAGAATAATAATAATAATACTGAAGTGCTGTGCTTGTATCTGTGAGTAAGTATTAGTGTTGATCTTTTGCACTTTTCATATCAACAGTTTGCTCTAGATTGCTTGATATTTGGGATGAACACCATCCTATCCACACCATTTCTGGCGTTATTGCTGAAAGGGTTATTGGGCATGCTTCGTGAGTTCGACAAAATGTCTCTGAGCTTTTTGAATGCTTTGAGGGAGGAGGCATAGAGCATAGCGATTCCACTTTTTTTTTTTCTTTGAAATCTTTATCGATCAACAAAAGTTGTATTGCTACAGTGATTCCTTCTAATGGTATTTACTGTGTTTTATATTCTTTTTGGAATGCGACATAATAAACTAAATCTATTGACAGAATGAAAAGAAAAAGAAAAAAAATAATATGTCTAGGTTACCCAGGGTAGGTAGCCTCATCAGTACATGTATTAATACTGTTCTCCCTGAGGGCCCTGCAATCATAGGATTACTCCAGCTTTAGCCCACCTACCATGATGAGACACTCAAGCATTCAATGAATTTCTTCCTACCCTGTAAACCATTTACTACACGAGGGTGGAGAGTGTCAAAAGTAGATTGATATGGCTCAGTGGTAGAGCAGTGGTCTCGTAAACGAGAGGTCCTGGGTTAAAAAACAAGTCATTGCGCTTATGTCCTTGATGTAAGGCATTAATCCTCATTAAAGTTGTGAAATTTTGGGGGATCAAGAGTGAGAATAAAGGAGTCGATGTAAACCAGGGGCGTGTCATTGTTGAGTCTTGCTGTAATGTGTATTGGCTCTCTGGAGTGCCATGGTGTTCAAGCGCTCACTCACTTTTGAAGTGTTTTAAGATTCTCTTTGGAATGCGACTTATCTAACCCTACTGTAACAACTCCCTGCATGGCTAAACCAAAGAGATATCTCTTTGGTGAAACCAAATTTAGTACCATACCATATGTATTATGTTTTGAGTGTAAAAGATGAGTAGAAGGCAGGAGTATTGTATAATAGAGACCAAAAAGGAGATACTTTGAAAATGTTCTTGAATAAAATGCCATTCCTAATGTTTATGCATCAATGCACTGTCATTGTTGCCTTAATACCTTGCTATATTTTGATGGTCAATTGATCCCCTTCATTGATCCCTTTCATTAGGATAAGGTTCAAATCAATAGATTTATTTTTATTTACTGACTCTAAGGTCCTACAGAAGAAGAAGAAGAAGATAACCCTTATCTCGCAATGTAGCCTGTTCCACAGTGATATAGCATGGGTCCACCCTGACATATTGAGGGATAGCTGGAGCGATTAAGGGGGGGGGGGGATGACCATTAGTTACCCAGAAATCAAAACACAGTCAAACCTGTCTATAGCGACCGCCTAAGGGAAACACAAAAAGTGGTCTTTGTAGCTAGACAGGTTCCTTTAGCACATGTTTCAATGAGAAACTATTTTCAAGGGAAAATTTGGTCTCTGTAGACAGGTGGTCTTTGTAGACAGATGGTCACTAAGGCAGGTTTGACTGTACAAGGCTACTGATTAGAGGAAGGGTACATGGTTTGGTCCAGGCATCTTCTCATCTTTTCCCCTTCTCTTCCCTTTTTTTTTCACCACTGGATACGTGAGGTACATATCCCACCCACCCCCCCCCCCCCCCCACCACAGGTGTGTCATATCATTTCACAATCAACTTTAGTCTCTTCTTCACACATTTCAGACCAAATTATAAGGACTAATCCTTTTGTGTCATACAGAACATTCAGATGTGATATTGCCCATGACTATGCATCATATGTATATTCATTGTTGATAAAGAATTATACCGTTGTGATTGTACATGTAATGATATGAGCCAGATAATCCTGAATCAATGCTTACCGTTATGGTGATGAGAAGATTAGCTCATGCTGTTCAGGACACCATTTATATATATATTCTGTTTATGCCATTTCAAATGTATTCATTTACACCAAATTGCATGTTATTTTATTCAATGTATTGTACAATTTCATTTTCAAACAAAGATTGAACTGAACAGACACTGATGATGTTTCATAAAACATGGGCGTTTCATTTGCTTTGTGAGCATTCATTAAAGAAATAACATTACAAAATTACAGATGGCATATTATATCATATTCTAAAAATATCTCTTCCTGCTTTGTCAAACTTTGCAGTTGAAAGCCCTTTTCACAATGTGAGAGACAGAGATGGCTGTTTTCATTTTATATGAAGTTATAGTTGTCCATATGTTGATCCCCACAGATGTAATGAGATTTTTACATTTATACAATTGATTAATGACATCTGTATTTCTTTAATGTTATTTCTTTCATGAATGCAAGGGAAAAAACATCTGAGCACAACCATTGTTTGTGGTACATTTACCACACACCCATATATTATGTTCATTCCATTCTTTTTTAGCATTTGACATTGGCAGAAATGGGTAGCTCTGGATATGGTACATATTTTGGAGACATGAATTAAATTTTTTTTTACATGTATTCACCAAGATAGAAATGACTGAAAATCACTAAAAAGGGTGTTGATGAGATTGATGTTACCCAGGGAAAGCCACCACAACAAAAAGATTCATGAAATTGTTTGAAATGGAATCTTATATTTTATCTTAAATATCTTAAAGGGATCCTGTTGACAGAAAGAATTATGTAATTTCTCTGATCATGACTGGGGGAGGGGGGGGGGGGAATCAAACCTGTGACCTTTACATCTTCAGTCACTGTACTTCTTTGTTTTGTGCTTATCTGTGTATTATCTGTGTATTATCTTTCCAATGACATTTTCACGATTGACCATATGACAAGGCAAGATCTAATCACACTCAATGCTTCTCCCGTTATCGTTGACCACAAACATGGTCTCTGTGTATTTTCCTGGAGCAAACATCAAATAGCAAGGATAGGCTGGCTGTTATCAGAGTAATCTTACTGATTAAGAGCCAGTCCGATTAAGTGCTTATATATCTGCTGACTGATAGGTCTACGGAAGATGGAGAGAAATAGGTGTGTTGCATGAAAAAAACATGCTGAACAATGCATGATTGAAGACATCAAGGGCCACTGCGTAGCTTTATAGAACCCAATTATGTCTGGATTTTACTCAAAATGAAAACAGAATTAGATGTGGAAATTACGAAACGGATTTTTAAAAAAGTTGTAGGGTGTTGTTAGATTTGATAATCAGAAAAAAAGACCTACCGTAATCAGCTGTGAGACATTGTAGCCTCACAAGGGTCGCATGATTGGCTATGGATGGGTAGCTGATTCAGCTTTTTCTCTTACAAGAAGATTTCAAGTACTATTCAAAATCAGTATTGATATTCAGAAGATGGACTTCATTCAGATCCACTGGGTTTTTATTGGCGTGTATCAATCAGATATGATTATTTACGTCTGGGGACTGACCTTTGACGTCACCGTCTGAAAGACGACGGTGACTCAGTTTCGAATCGGGATCGCTTGAGCCAGTTTGTAGGCAAAGACTGAGAGCTGACCAAGTGGACATTCTAAAGTCCCACATTATATATTATTTCAAAATGGAAGAAAATAAATAAAATTCTGTAAAGAAAAAAAAATTCCACTGATTCCATGACCTTGACTAGTTTGCAGGCACAGACCCTTATCAGTTTTGTGCATAACAGAGTGTCTGAACTTTGAGACTATGCAGACTGCACTCCATAGGCTTTGTACTTGAGCTGCTCGGCCAGAGAATTACAGAGCTAGGCTCGGCTCAATTAAGGCTTTAGTGGATTTATGTTATGTTATGTATCATATAAATAATACACTGCAGTGAGGGCATTAGTAAGAATTACCCACACAAGGTACCTTTGGAACAGTCTTACACGCCCGAGGTGATAGCTGAGGGTGTTTGGACTGTTTTGAAGGGACCGAGTGTGGGTATTTTTACTAATGCCCGGACATAATGATGTGTATTATTTTTTTAATAGTATTTTATGTTTTATTTGATTTATAAAATGATGTTTTATGAAAGGATTTTACTAATGATCAGTCATTAGCATTTGATAATGACTGGTCATTATCAAAATTATGTGTAAGGCAAAATAAATACCTGGTCACGTGTACGCTCTCAACCAATCATTTGATTAGGATCCAGGTCATCATCTTATAATACCTTTAAAGGTAAGGACCAGTATTGGAAACGCCCAATTTCAAAAAATTGAATGGAAGCTCTTTATTACCAATCATGTGAAAGAATATGTTTTGACTAATACATGATGATAAAAATTTTGCCGGGAAACCGCCTACTAATTGATATATTTGGTAAATTAGTTTATCTATTGGACTGTGAGAGATAAACGCACTTGTCGTGCACGTGTGCGTAGTCCTATATACATCTTTCTGTGTACAGCGCTTGTAACTTTACGAAGACTGGGCCAAATTTCTTATCATTTTGATGATTCCAGAACCTTGCAGTATACACCAATACTTTTATGCTAGATGATCAACCTTTTCTGATCGATTCCACAACGTTTCTTTCACAATGCAATCGCATGACAATAACTGGTCTTTATCTTTAATAAAGACTTGCCACACATACCAGTAACAGTTGAATACAATTTAAATGCTAACTTTATTGGAGGAGCTTGTGCCTTTGAATGTTTTTTTTAAACGGATATATGGCGCCATACAAATGCTGTGAATCATCATCATCATCATCAAGTACAACGTAAATCCGCCAAAGCACTTTTAGAGTTATCCGTGAAAAATGATTAATATTCTGAGATAAGATTGAGAAAGAGAATGTTTCATATTCAATGAATCCTTAAAATACATGAATGTACATTATTTACAATAATGCACGAAGATGAAAGAAGTGCCCTCTCTTCATCTTGTTTGTCCTAAAAGAAAACATAAAGTAAATGAAATTGACTGCAGTACAGTTGTTGCCAATTGAAGCAGTTGTTGTCAGAGCATATGTCGTACAACCATCACTAATCGTTTATTATAATCAGAAATGTTTCTCTGGCACCCCACCCCCTCTCTCTCCCTCTCTTACTTTTATTTAATCCTTCTCTCATGCTCTCTCCCTCCCCCCTAAACTCCCTATCTCTTCTCACTCCTTCTCTATCTCTTAGACCCCTGTTACACATACGTCTGAAAGTGGACTGAGGCCGGCCCCGGAGGCGGCTCGCCGTATGTGTAACATTAACTTTTTTAGAAAAGCCGGACTGAGGCCAGTTGGACTCAGTCCACCTCTGGATGTGGTTTGAGGCTGGCCCGAGTCCGGACTCAGTCCCGCAATCAGTATGTGTAACACCAATGTGGACTCGGGGCCGGCTTATAAGCGGAAATGACATGACCTGTCATCTATATCAACATAATACATCAGGCCGAGGCGCGCTTTGCCACCTTCTCTTATGCTATTCTTTGTTTCTTCCTTCTATCACCTTCTCTTATGTTATTCTTTGTTTTTATCCTTCTATCACTTTCTCTTTCTGTCTTTTCTTATGTTATTCTTTATTTCTTCCTTTTATAACCTTCTCTCATGTTATTCTTTGTTTTTATCATTCTATCACTTTTTGTCTTTCCTTATGTTATTCTTTGTTTTTATCATTCTATCATTTTCTCTTTCTGTCTTTTCTTATGTTATTCTTTGTTTATCATTCTATCACTTTCTCTTTCTGTCTTTCTTTAGTGCGCCCCAACGTCAAAAAGGCGACGTGAGGCGGGCCCATGTGTAGACACAAAACAAACAGGGGTTTGATGATCTCGAGGCGGCTTTAAATTGCCGGTGTGAGGCCGCCTCCGGGGCCGGCTTTTAAAGCCGACGCATGTGTAACAGGGGTCTTATCTCTCTCTTTCCCTCACTCTCACACCCTCCCTCACTTTCCCTCCCTTCACTTCACTCCCTATCTATATTATCTCCCCCCTCCTCTCTCTCTCTCTCTCTCTCTCTCTTTCTATCTGTCTCATTATCTCACCTCCCGCTCTCTCTCCCTCCCTCCCTCCACTCCTCCTGTCTCTCCCCTATCTCCTTCTCTCCTCTTCCTATTTCTCTCCTTATCTCTATCTCTCTCTCTCTCTCTCTCTCTCTCTCCCCCTCTAGTAATCCTCTTTCGCCCTATATTGTGTTGACATTTTTCAGTTGCCATGAGGAATGTAATTTAGAGTGTATTCATCTTTTCTTTTTTTCTCTTTGTTTCAGGCCCCTCTGAACACCCACGATGTCATTAGAGCCTACGAACGTCTCTTTTGTTGTGGCATGAAAGACAAGCTCATGCAAATACACAGAAGAACTATTTGAGATGCAGCAGTGCAAACAGATCTTTGCCTTGTGAAGCACGGACACATGTTTGTCCAGCAACATATGTTGCCTTTGATTTTGTTTTAATGTAATGTGGGTTTCTGCAGAGTCAAATAATTTCAAATTGTCAAAGAGTTTGATATATAATTGTTATTTCGAGTCAGCTGAAGTATGTACCGTGTACATATTACCAGAGGTAATTGAAGATGTTCCTTACTTTCTTGTAAGAATGGTTGTTTCTGTAGAATTTAAGAATGCAGCAGTGAAATAAAACTATTGAGTATTATACCGCAAGCGTGTATGTTGTTGAAACCCTCAGCAAAACTCAGAAAATAGAGTACCATTGAACGTTGATCCTCTATTAAATATGTTTATTCAGATATTTAATTTGGATTATCAGAAATGCTTCATATTTTCAAATCATGTCTTTTCATGGAATTTGTTGTCTTCTGCTTATTCTAAGACTTTTAGTTGTACCTGTTCTTTGTGTAAATATGTGTAGAATAGCTTTCTAGAAAAAGAAATACTATTGTGAAATTGAAATTATGATCTTGCCATACACATTTTGTTTCTTGTCAAACCGACCTGTCAGTGTTAAAAAATAGTTCATAATCAATAGTTTTAGACAGTGATGTTTGATCAGAGCTAGAAAATTTTAAACCCCTTTCTGGTTCGCAGCCAGCTTAAATACATGTTTGGCTGAGTGCTTTTTCTCCCTCTCAAAAAACAGTGTTGAATTAGTGAGTTTGGAACTATCAAGACTCGCACTGTCGGGTGAACTTTGCCTATCTAAACAAAAATGATTGAATGAGAGAATGGCATGTTTTTGCTGAGTTCTAGCCTTGAAAGTTCTATAATTAATTCACTATTCTATTGTATTAATCTACATGTATTTTTTTATTTTTTTTATATTTCTGTTTGATAGGGAATAGGCTTGAATGGCTGACCTTGTGTGATAATTCTATATTAAGAAAAAATGTCACAAGTACTTCAAAGTATATGAAAACATTGGGGTAGATGATTTAGTGTTGAGCCCACTGACCCATATATTATGCAAGTAGACCAATATTTCATGTAAGTACTAAAAGACTGTCGCTTCTTTGCAGGAGAAATTGTGTAAAATAGATGAAGTAAAAGAAAATTGATGCATTATGAAAATGGATTATTGAAATAGTTACGATTGATATGGGAATGAAATGTGGTCTTGTTTATCTTTTTATGTAGATTATTGCAAAAAGTCATTTAATATTAAGTCATCCATTTAAAAGAAAATGGCAGGGGAAGATCTCATTTGGCATTTTCAACAACCCCGAAACAAAGAAAAGCAAGGAGGAAAAACAAATGTTAATTTTGGTCTGTCAAGATATTTGCTTTGTAGGACCATTATTGCCTTCAGGTTTTCTGTTACAGTGTATTTCATTTATTCAATATTCTTTATTCCAAGGGGATGGCGGGCCTCTACAAACAGTCCTCTTATTAGTGTCTGTATGCGACCCTGATTAGCATAACTATGAAACTTTGATGTTTGATCGTTAGTTACAGTTGACCCTCATATTTGCTCTCACCTGTTCTTACCAGTTCTGTCTCATTTTTGCTTTTGCTCCTTGACAGTACCAGTTGCACCTTTCTATTTCTAACTCTCTTTCTCCCTGATGGATGTAATTAAATTATCACTGGCCACTCTCGGCCTTCATATTTTGTTAATTCATGAAGGGCAATTGGCTTAAGTTGATTAAAACCCTTTTCCATCCAAACCTTCATAATTATGCTTTGTCATTCATCAAGGAAATTTGGATTAATGTGATTACAAGTTTTAATAAAAGATGTCACATTGTTTTCTTTCATTAAAGAGTAAAAACAGTCAACATACTGTCATATTTGAAGGGAAATTGCATGTTTTATCAAGTAGACTTACAGGTAAAATGACATGTGTGTACATGTATTTCAATGTGCGTAGTATCATGTAGAGCTATTTCACAGACATTATATTCTTATCTTGCAATGTTTATGTTTGTAATCGACATAGGAGAAATTACATGAAGCAGGTTTGATAGGAAAGTTGCTGGACCTTTATTTCGCTTTATATTTGTGCTCATTATTAATTTGCCTTAATACATGTATATGTCAAAAAAGAAGTACTACCCTTTTCTGTCTGTTTGTATTTATGTTTAGTCTCTCTGTGTGTTCAGATCTCTACTCTTTTATTTTCTCTCTCTCTCTCTCTCTCTCTCTCTCTCTCTCTCTCTCTCTCTCTCTCCCTCTCTCTCTCTCTCCTCCCATCCCTCCCTCTGTTTGCTACCCTTTTTTTCTCAATCCTTGTTGGCCTACTGTCAACACTAACTTGTACATTTCACAATGATGTCTTCCATTTTGTATGATGAAGTATAACGTTTCATAGCAAATAAAGCTATGAAAAATTGCAAAAACAATTTTAAACTTTGATTTGCCAAAATACATTGTATGTTTAAATGTACATGTAGTTGAATAGACCAGTTGTGTTTAAAATGCAAAATAAAGCTGGCGCCTGTGCTCTATTAAAATTTAAAAAAAATAAAATTAGGTCAGACTTGTGTCTGTCACCTTCATCCTCTATTTGATGGTGTTTGTTCAATGTGTCAGGTTTATTGATTAATCGTTGTTTTCAAACATCTGCACTATTGTGGTTCAGGGTGAGAATTAATTGTTGGCCTTGTACATATTTTGCACAGTTAGTTGTTGAGATTAATTGCTTGACAAAGCATAAGCTATACATATTTTGCAAAGTGGTTTTGTGTTTTAAATTGCTTTCGGACATCTGAGCCCTGTTGCATAAAATCTACAATTGATGGTAACTTTGATATCAATGGTAACTTCCATGGCAACCTTGATTTGATTGGCTATATTGAGTGATGTTGCCATGGTAATTAATTATTGATGGCAATTAAAGTTACCATCAATGGTAAGTTTTATGCAACGGGGTCCTGCAGTATTTAATTTTGAGGTGAGAATTAATTATTGACCCTGCATATTTTGCAAATTACTAGTTGATGTAATGAAATGCTGTGTATTTGTTAAACCATGGAACCCACCACAAAGGGTTAATGGTTAGACAATTATATACCATTATGTTTTTCAAAGCGGTTTTTCGTTTTTCATTGGTATCGTGAACAGCTAGACTGTGAAGGCTAAGTACATGGCCCAAATTCATTAAATTCACTGATTAGAAAGAGATGCTTAGGCCGGTGGACCAGATCGACACGGCCTTACAAACGAGCAAAAGGAAACTCAAAATACATGTACCATTTTCGTAATGTGACCTACTTTAATGCATACTTGTGAAGTGCCTCATAAAATACTAATATTTCATTTACCTATATTGAATAATTGCATTTCAATAGTCAGAATGCAAAGTGCATGTGTTACGTGTTATTAGGTAGGGAAAGCCATGTTTGTCCTACCTGACAACGACTAATGTATCCGTTTTGCATTCTAACTATTCGTTACAGATGAATAAAATAATTAGTGTCGAGGCACTTCACAAAGACGTATGCATTAGATTTGGTTACAATACGAAAATGGCCTATTGTTTCATATAATTTCAAATGATACATTGCATGAGTTGTATCTTCTAAAAACGTATGTAAGAAGAAAAAACTGTCCAAAAGAGGTGGGATGGTTGGGTATTTGCATGTCCGACGGCCTAGCCAACCCCTATTGACATTACTCCGTATAGATCGAACTTTTTTGTGGTTACGTAATACATATAAAAGATAAAGATAAAGATAAAGATAAAGATTTTATTCGTCTTTCTTTCAAATGACATACAGAGCATAACATTGGATCATAACACATTTACAATGCAAAATAACAAATTATGGCAATGATAAAAACAAAGTTAACTAAAAGAAAGACGAGGAGACCCTGGAATACAATATTGGAATACTCCTCTTCAATATTTGTTGCAGAGAGGGTCTCCCATGTTGTATCTACATATGAGAGAGAGAGAGAGAGAGAGAGAGAAACAGACGGACAGATCGAGCAGGTGAAATTCAAATACACACTGGTAATGGGGAAGACGAAAAATGATAATACATCCAGGCGCGGATCCAGGATTTTCCAATAGGGGGGGCCGGAAATTCGAAATTCGCGCAGACCGTTATATAAACTTACCAATACTGACAAGGTCATATTAGAAGCACTGTACTTTAATAGTGTATTGGTACCTACAAACGGGCACAATTATTTTGGAAAGGGGTCATGCTCACGCCACATCTCTTGTCCGATATCAACATTCCCCGTTTTCAAGTTATGCTCGCGCGCAATTTTTTTTTGACATTTCCATCAGTGGGGGCTGAAGCCTCTTGCCCCAATATCTATTTCCTGGTTTAATAATTTGGCGAGTGAGCAGAAATTTGAGCTTATGTATGTTGTGAAAAGTGTTAATTGTCACCAAAATATACGAGATAAGATATAACAAATGCATATTGGTAATTTTTAAATTTTCGGGGAAAGAGAGGCTGCAACACCATCACGCATTAACTGCAGGTGTTTTGAAATCAAATCAGACTCCCCAAAAAATTGTTAACCAAAACGCACGAATCCAGTTTCAAAAATCCAAAAAAATGTCAGCTTCAGAGGGGGGCACATCACCCCTCAGACTCCCTCTAAAAGTATTAACCGAATCGCACGAATCTAGGTAAAACAAAAAAAATCAGCTTCAGAGCTAGAGAGGAACCCCCCCCCCCCCCACACACACACACACACCCTGTGCGCGCAAGCGTGAAATTAACGCTGGCGCTAATGCGTAAGCAGGGGCGGAGGAGCTATTTCCAAAGTGGAAAGCACCAACAAAAAAAGGGCACCTACAAAGCGAAATCTCAAAGCGAAAATATAATTTTTTTAGACATTGGTATATACCCTTTCATTGTGATCCCATTATCAGGGACGATTTCAATATTTGTTTTTCTTTATATATCATACAAGTTATTGCTTAAGCATCACACTTTCGGCTAAGTGTGATTATCTGAATATTCATTTGCGAGCGAGCAAATCGAGCGAGAAAAAAATGTAAGATCTGTGAGGTCGTAGAGTGAAAAATTACATCTTATAAAGAGGAAAAAAAACCAAATCATGATGGGGTTATAAGCATCACGGAAGACTGAAAAAACATTTGTTTTAAAGTGACATATAATTGTATCATCTATAAATGCGAGCGAGCGAGCGAGCTTTAGGGGAAATTACTCTTAGTCGCTTTAAATTAGGTGCAAGACTAATGATGAGCAGGTTAGGGGGGCACGTGCCCCCCCCCCCCCGTGCCCCCCCCCCCCCCCCCCGATGATGAGAGGTTAAGGGGACACATATCGAAAGGGATAAAGACACTTATTAGAAAAGAAAAGGAGCATGTGTCAAGGTACAAAGAGTAATTATCAAAGGTTCAAACTGGGCACTTCTTACACCTGAAAGGAGGCACTCACCAGAAATGAGATAGGGCACTTATGAGTATGGGAAACGGGCATTTGTCGACGGAAAAGGGGCATCCATCAGAAATTGATTTATCAGAGGTGAAAAGGGGCATTTATGAAAAGGGGATAGGTCCCTATATAGAAAGGAAAAGGGGCACGATTCAAAATTAAAGGGCAGTTAGCAAAGGTGAAAATGGGCACCCATCATAGATGAAAAGAGTACTTATCAGGAGGGGAAGGGGTACTTTTCAAAGTAAAATGAGCATCTCTCAGATTCGAATAGGGGCAATTATCGGAAGTGAAGAGCGCACTGAAGTGAAACGAATTAACTTCATATATATGAAAATGGTCATTTACCAGAGATGAAAAGGGACACGTTTTATTTATGAAGGGCCTCATTTTTCTAAATAGCCCTTATCAGATAGGAAAGGGGCACATGTGTTGATGAAATGTGCGCTTATCCGAGTTAAAAAGGGGAAGGGGCACTTCTTTACAAAGTGAAAGTGGCCCTTTGGGGGGGGGGGTACTTGAAGAGTGGGGCGAACTTTGCCCCCTACCCCTGCCACCCGCCCCATCATCTGAAAATCCAAAATGATGTTGTAGGGGCCGGGCGCGGCTTTATCATAAGTGCTTTTATGTGAACCTCTTTTTTTATAAATATATTATGCTGGATTCTGACCCAGATTGCACACTCTAAAATGATAGTATGATCATCCCCAATGCACCCCTTCCTCCTAATTCGTCGTTACCGTCACTGCCATTTACGTATGGCCGGTGTGACCGCGTAGAATGTAACCCGCACCGATCGTCCGACTATTAGAGATTGATCGAGAGCGGACGATCGGTGCGGATTTTATCCGCGCAGAATGTCCGTGTCGGACATTCCGTGCGCGCCTCAAATGTCTGACGAACAATCCGTGCGGAAGAGGTCTCGCACCAATAGTCCGCCTGCCGCACCGAATGTCCGTACTCTAGTCCGCATATATACATAGTCAATATAGTGGAGGCTGTTAGGGCTAAATAGGGGTTGTTTGGTGCAGATTCTTCTAAAAGCACCAAATTCGGCCCAGAGGTAGATTATACCATACTTTTACGATTTCTTCCGGACGCCAAGAAGGGTACCCTCTGGGTATGCCATATTGGGCAAATCCAAAATGGCCGCCATCTGAGTTAAAGGTCAAGCGTAGTTCCAAAAGGAAAAGCGGTTGTATGATAATAGTTTATATATTTATGGGGTTTGGGGGGTCAGAGAATCTGATTATGATATTCTTTCATCAATTTAAGATCTCCTTGGGGCTGCCATACTGGTCATATTGGTCAAATCCAAAATGGCCGCCATCTGATAGTTACAGGTCAAGTGTAGTTACGAAAGAAAATGGGCTAGTATGATACAAGTTTATATATTTATGGGGTTTTCGGGGTCAGAGAATCTGATTATGATATTCTTTCATCGATTTGAGATCTCCTCGGGTCATACTGGTAATATTGGTCAAATCCAAAATGGCCGCCATTTGATAGTTACAGATCAATAGTAGTTCCAAAAGGAAAAGAGCTAAAAAAGCTAAAAGAGATTAAAAAAAAATTATATAGTAAGGGGGTTTTCTGGGTCAGGGAATCTGATTATGATGTTGCTTGTATCAATATTGCAGGTCTCCTTGGGGCTGTCATGCTGGCCATATTGGCCAAATAAAAAATGGCTGCCATCCGAGTTAAAGGTCAAGCGTAGTTTCAAAAGGAAAAGGACCAGTATGATAAAAGTTGATGAATTCATGGGGTTTCCGGGGTCGGATAATCTGATTATGATGTTCTTTTATAAAATTTTATTTCACCATCCTGTCCTAAGGCTACAATGAAGTCCATTTCCTAGTTGAAGAAGATCAGTGAAGATGCGCCAAATTCACACTTGAGTGGGTTTAAATCTTGGCCTGCGCCCGTATGTTTCATCAATATGCAAACTTTCCTCTGTGAAATGCATAATATATTCGTTTTCGAGGATTGGCAAGGAAAAAAGATAAACAGTAGAAACAGACCATGAATAAAGAAATAAATTCGATTTGTTTTGACGCATTATCTTTAAAAACCCCGGACAGCTTTATCTTTATTATCCTTAAAAAATAACTTCTATAATCACTCTGAGATGGAATAAAATAC